GGTGACGGTGTTTGTTTTAATGTTTAAAAACAACACTCCTGGGTAAGGTGTGTTTTTTTTCCTTTTTTTTTGTTTCCTTTCGTTATTGCGGGTTTTTTTGGTGTTTTCTTTTCCCTTTTTGTTTTTTTTTTTTTTTATTTTCCCCCATGTTTTTCACCCTTTCCCCCCCCCCCCCCCAAATTTTGCATAAGCATTGCCTTCAATTTCTCATTACAAACAAAGGTTATGGAAAATTTTGGGGTGCAAACAGGGTGTATTATGGGAGATGTACAAATGGTGAATATAATGAATCGTTACCAAGGGGATGGAAAAATTGCTGGGTAGGAGAATTTCAGTCGTTAGATATGTTGGGGTGTTGGTAGCCTGCGTAGCAAGCGTTTCCGCGCGAGTTCGTCGAGAAAATTGGGACAAGAGCAAAAAAAGAGGAATGAGGGGGAGGGGAGTGAAGGAAACGCTACGCAGGCTAGGGTGTTGGTCATATGGGTGTTCGTTATATCGAGGTTCCACTGTTTCATTATCACTTTGAGGTTGAGCTTGAGGCCATCTTCGCACTACTTTGAGCCGCCATGCAAATCATATCGCGAGATAGGGCCTCTGTTCACACAAGTACGGTTGTGGCGGAGTAATTTCTAGGACGGAGCGAAGCTGCGCTGCGCCGATCTCGGAAGTGGAGCGTCACATATCGGGTAGATTGTATGTGTAGTTTGAACACCTATTCGGCCCGTCGCGGAAGTAACTAAGTAGAAGCGAATCCTGGAACCAACTAAGACGGAAGTAAATATTTAGGAGTGAGGACTGGGTTTTAGTGCATAAACCCTATCGGCCAAATGGCTCCGCCACGATTTTCGATGTGTGTGAGCGACTGGTGCTGCTCCAGGCCGTTGCTGTTCATACGGCCACGAAAAGCTATCCGGTTTAGTATGAATATAGCCTGAGACTGGATCAGTCTTGTGTCGAGTTTCACCATGGAAAGGTTTTGGGGATGACAAAATTTCCACCCAGTTTCTTGCACAGCCTCGTACTATCAAGTACATTGCGCTTGCCTGCAGTGCAGGCGTATTTTGGGCGGGCGAAAGCTGCGTGTTTATGTTCGTACTGTTGTAACCGCCAGCTTTGTTATGACGGAGGGAAGATTAGGGAGAGTGAAAATAGTAACCCTAAGGGTAGGTGCTAGGGCGAAAGAAGGACCCCCTCCCCTCTTTCGAGTTTCAACATGCGCTTTCGCGAGCAAAACATTCGCGCACCCGAAGAAAACGCCTGCACTGCAGGCTAACATTCAGGGGCACCCAACATCAATTTTCGGAAAATATCTGTTCGGAAGACGATTTGAGATCTAGAATTTTCGGTACATTTTTTGTAAAATTTCTTGCTTGCCTACCTCTCCTAGGATTTTCGAACATCTAAAAATTGGTGTAATTGCCCATTTTTTTAACGGATTTTTACCCTAAAAAGCTAACCTAGAATTTTCGGGAGCCTTTTTTCTGGCTGAAATTTTCGAAAAGGTAAGTTTTGATCCCTATGATTTTCGGATCTCGAGACTTTCAGCTAGGAAATCCGAACAGATGAAAAATTTTTAGGGGATAAAAGAATGCCCATATCTACCGTTTAAATACTAAAATACGTCTAACAATGCTATGTTTAAGTGGTTTTGAACTATATTCTCGTTGGGTGCCCCTGAACATTGTGCAGTTCGACACAACATCAACCCAGTCACACTCTAAACCTCAAAATGCCCTACGATTGTACTGGGGTGTTGGTCATAATTAGAGAACTTTAGATTCTAAGACGAAGACGACTTCGAGAACAAGATTTTTCTAATTATAAGTACCGGTAGTGCGCGAGCGTGAGACAGCGTCATTTTGGCGCGAAAACGTGGTAGCCGTCGTCACTCTACTACTAGTTTTAGCGAGAATGTCGTAGTGGCGGGAACAAGTTATAAAATTTCTGAGGTCTTTTGAAACCATGGAATGTAAGGAAGGGAGTATGAAGTGGGAAGATATATATTGCAATGTTTTGCTGCGGTTATTAGCTATTGGTTAAGCCCCGCACTACCCTGTTACAATATTGAGGCCCCTACCAACTTAAATTTTGCAACAGTGACTAATTATCAGGGGTTATGTAACATTCCCCTGAACAAAGAAAAACGAGCCAAGTGAAAAATAGTAAAAATAAGAAATGCTGTCTTCTAAACTAATTCTTTATTTCTTCCACAAGGTAAACATAACTTCAAATATGCTTTACATGACTACTTGTAAAATAAATACGTAGAATAGCAGTCGCCTGAGCAATCATATGACTGCAGCCGAACGTTTTAAATATATATTCTCGATCAATATCTTTAAATGTTTTCTATTGTATTCCTTTAATCTCGCTCATATTGAATCCTAAAACTTTCATGGCATTTTTTATACATATCTGGTGATAGTTTTAGTTTGAGAAATTTTATAATTTTTTGTCATGATCAACCAGGACTGTGCCACTAGCGACAATCAGCACACGTTTTGCTGGTCTTGGGGTTAGATACGTGTATGTCCTTTTTCATTCCATCATTTTTGTTCTCTAACCCGTATCTTTTTCGTTAATCTATGCGGCACTATCCTTTCGCTCTACAGTCAATCGTTTTTGACTAGTTCGGCCAATGTTTGTTGCGTAATTGGAAGAATCACTGTTTTCAGATCTGGCTCTTTTTCGTGCGTTTCGGCAAAAGGCAAAACAGTGAATGAATGGATGAATATTGCGGCTGACTTGCCGAGGGCCCACGTAAGCAAGTGTACAACCCACCGCCAGCTCTACCGCGCGGTACAATGATTGGAATATTAACCAAGGCCAAGGTTTTGGAGGCTCCATTTCTTCTCCTTTGAACATTTTGTGCACACCAATAATTGAGTACAACTGAAGCGCGCAGCTTACAAACCCAAGCAACACTGTAAAGTAGGTTATTTTGACGAGTTTAGCCACGTTAGGGCGATATAAACGGTTGGTGCCAGGTTCTCCTGTTCCATCGTCCCTTGCGCGCAGGCTTGCTTGTCCGAGGCGAGTCACGTGGCTGTGATTACGAGTTACATAAGTGACAATTTTAGTACCACTATATATGAAGCTAACAGAAAGAACAAAACTAAACACGACGAAGAACGACTGGCACACGATACTGAGTGTTTCTGCGTCGGCAAACAGTGACATCGTAATCTCTGTGATGAAGGAAAGTCCAAAATGAAACACGATGACACAGGTCAGAAATTTAGTGCTTTGGAGTTTTTCTGGGTACAGCTTGAGTTTCGTAACTTGAAGAAACGCCAGGTGGACCAGTGAGAAGGAAGCCGTGATGCATGGTAGGGCAATACCGAAAAGTATTCGAGTCAGCATCACGGGGCACTTAGGCAATAAGTAGCACTGTGGAGACTCGTAAGGATTGACAAAGAGAAATAAAGCCCTTGTCAGCCCGAGAATCAGTAACATGCTTGAAATGACCATTGCTAAATGCCCTCGTTTTCCTCGTCGTTTCCCCTTGACTATCTGTAACAGGGATGCCAAAGAGTACAACGCAAAAAGAGTGAAGAGCGTACCAAACCCAATCCAGTGAAATTCCCAAGCCCACTGCCATGTCTGCAATGCAGGGCCCCATTCTGGGATAGGCTCAGCTGCAACAGCAGGGCCTCCTCCATTTGGGCTTGATTCGGTCTCTGGATAAGGCTCTCCTACTGCCATTTCACGTCGCCCTGAAAACAAAATATATTTATAGAGTTATGTGAGTCTCGCAGGCAATTTAGCCACGAGGCTTTCCCCGCTTCTGGAGTATAAATTAACTAGAAATATGTCTTCTCTCTTCGTGTTTGTGGAAGCTAATCAAAACGTACCTTCTGGTCGCTACGATGCCTAAAATGCAGCTCAATACTGAACTCAGTTTCTTTTGAAGCGTCATTGAAAATGTTTGTTTAAACTCCCACGCACAATTTCCGGGTTATTTATGCTCGAATGCTTTATTTTGTCTCACTTTCTTTAGTTTTTTGATAAAAACAGACGGGAATGTAAACTATCAGTGAGCTGTGAAACGAAGGACAAAATGTCTAAAAATCAACGTTTCTAGAAATACATTTTTCACAACTGAACGAGGCTAGGAACAAGAAACTTACGCAATCCGTGACGCATGGTTTTTGCCACGCCTCAGTGTTACAAATTGTTCTTAACAAAAAATATTGAGGGCTTCTTGACCTTCCCTTTTGATTTTTATGGCACATAAAACGGTTGGCGATAGTTTTAGTTTTTTTCAAACACTTTTTGCGTCATCTTCATACGCTTTTTGGGTCATATTTAATACAGTAAGAAATGGCTGCTAGAGCGTGGGTGGATTAAATACAAACTACTGTCAATGGATCGCCCAATATTAGGACAAAAAGAATTTGATTGTACAACATAACGTACTACATAAAATACCGAAAAAAGCCCTAATATGTTTGAAGACAGAGTTATTTTACATAACCCTTGAAACAGGTACAACTAATTCCAAATAGCTATACAAGTAAACAAAACTGAGGAGACAATGGCATTAGTGGGAATTAGTGCGTCATAGTCTTATCCATGTCAGTCATGTTATCCACTAACCTACGTAGCTGGCTGTTTTTTCTGGCGAGAGCGCATCCCTCCTTAACGAAAGCGCTAACTACGGAGGTTAGTTTATACACCACAGAAGTTGAGAATAATGCCTCAAATTAGCACTGCGAAAATAATTCATTTGGTGTTCAAAGCATGCTTAAGATAACCCAGGATTAGCGTATGAATTGAATTCAAAGCTGAACTCTTACCAAGCAAGTCCTTGCGGTATATTCTTTTCCCCTGTGTTTGGATGCTCTAAATTGACTAGTTACAATGCTTTAAACAAAGGAAAAGGGAACCTGGATTAACTTAACATTTAACCGTAGTTTAGTGAATTGCACAACTGAACGGCAGTTTTGCCAATCTTGATAATTAAGCTGATGTAATGAGGTCCAATAATTGTGTTGGACGTTGGAACGAGTATGATCTCGTTTAAATGACCGGCCCATTGAGAGTTGTTGCAATTATGAAACTTACAAAACACGATTATTCAAACTCATTAATAATTCATAAAGAAAAAACAGAAGAAATTAAAGTTTAATGAGTGTCTTTATATCTGATAAAGACACAGCTAAACTTTACGTCCAATTTTTTAGACAAAATAACCCCAAATCTAAATATTAGTGCAAGAATGAGTTGATCTATATCAGAGATATTGAAGCCGTTCAAACTGAAACTCGCTGTCGTGTATTATCAGGTTTAAAAACTACCAGATTCGCCTCGAATGTTAAAACCTGATAATACACTCCTCGTTTTGTGGACAGTACTTAAAAACGCACACAAAACAGTGAAGAGCTCTGATGAATCTTCAAGAATAGATAATTCATTGGCAAATGAAGTTAAATCAGTTTATATTCACAAAAAAGTTGTTTAATGACAGGTCACCCAACAATCGAATGACTCCAAATACGTCGGGAGAGTTCCAAATGGTTTTCTCTATGCTTTAGAACCCTGTTTGCTTATGTTGGAGCTGCCCTTGAAACTATTTATCTGTTTAGAAGTCTTAGGGAACTGTTGTCATCTCGAAGTCTTAAGTGTTTTTTTTTGTCCTATCCAAACTGTTAGGTAATCCGTGATGGGTCCGATCGAAAGTTCAAGGACATGGTTTAGGGGTAGTTTGTATTTTTATTTTCAGGAGATCTTTTTTATTTAACAATAATCGCAATATCTTGGTAATGAAATATGACAAACACAACCACCGAAAATCGTTAGTAAGTTAGTAGAAAAACTCCAAATAAATTTCTTCCCAATAGTGCTCCTTCGAACAGTTATTTTAAGGAAAATATTCGTTGCATGGGTGCCCTTGTAAAGTCTGTTTCGTGCAGTGGTTTGTGCTATATGCTTGTTTTCTATCAAACGTTTCTTGATATTTGCAGATAAGTGCAGTGTATTTCGTTCTCTAGTTTAATTCGTTATCCGGGCGGCTGCATAAAACTGCTAAAACAGTCGTGGCATCCTGTTGGCAGTTTTTAGTTTATCTTGAAGTTACAATGAAACCTTGCAAAAGCCTTATTATGACTGTAAAACTATACCGAAATTTCTCGGATTTTTTGGGCTCTTTGTAACAGCGATTTTCGTTACGATTACGTTTCAGATCAGCTAGGCAGCATGTAACAAGTTTGTTTATCCTCTCTTCCAAAACTTTCAAAATCGTCCTTGAATCGACAGGACTCAGTAAGAACTATTTTAAAAATTTATGAATAATTGCAACAGATCGGATACGTGTACGTAATGAAGCGCGGATCATGAAATACCATGCTAGATTTAATCCTCTTATTATTTAAACAATCTGTGCAGTTAGTAAGAGGCTGTTGGGAAACCAGAAAATATTTTGGGGTAACTGGGAAAACTGATTTGTTTTTATCCCTTGAGACACAAGTGCGGCAAACTTAATAGCAAGTATGTTAGATGGTAAAAGAAATGCTCGATATAGAGCGTGGTAAATTTCTTCAGATGTCCGGAATGTTGCACCCAATTTGACGTATGCTCTGCGTTCACTGTCGCAGCCCTTACTTTAGGATTATTAAAACGAGTATAAAATTAACTTCAGGTTCTAAGCTTCGATCTCAGCCCGTTTTCTAACGTCAACATATAATTAAAGGAACTCTGGTCTAGAGACATTGATCGTAATCTCTTGAGTCATGCATGCAGTCTTTGGTCTTGCGTCATTATGTTGAGCATACGCAACTAAGAAAGTTAGAAACCAAGATTAGAATTACCTTTGCTCCAAGCGTCTATTCCGGTCTGTTATGTTACGTAAACATAGCATTGCATCCCACGGCGTCCGTACGTGTGCAGTGGGCTTTGCTGGAATCGACAATCGCTTTTTAAAAGATATTGTTCCCGCTAAACTCGAAGATGAGATGAGGCCGGTCTCCACCAACAGTGTGTCACGAACATGCAACTGAAGACATCTGTAAATGCCTGATCGTCTGTCGCATGTTGTGCAACAAGATTTTAATACTTAGGTTGTTATTACAGTTTGCCAGTGAAGTTCGTTTTCAAATGCTATGGATATGCAAAAGATGAATGTGCCGCCGACAAACTGACTTGTGGGCGTTATATTAACGGGTTGATTATATGCATTGATGAGCAGTGACAATATAAATAAACAACGCTGAACGACACAATAAACACATAGAAACAATATATTTTGCCGCACCTTAGTCCTTTTTGATCAACAGTGCTATTGTATTTCTTTTTTGTTAGAAAAGGAGTAGGATTATGACATTAATGTCAGGGGTAATGTTAAACAATTGATATTAATGACTGTTAATGTTTTAGATTCTAAAACATTTTTAATCCCTTAATTTGGGATCTGTTCTGTGCACGTTTGGATCATTTGTAATACAGAATTCAAGAGACAGATAAGTAAATAATTTATTGTGTGGGGAAATTAAAGGACTGTACTTAATAGCTCTTATACTTAACATATTTAATTTAAGGGTTCCTAACTATGAATTCACGTGAGACTCAAGATTGACTGTGGAGCAACTCTCTCAATTTTTTCAGTGGTTCTCTGAGTTCAGTTTAATGTTTCTTTTTTTTTTTTTTTGCCTTTTAAGAGGAACGGTAAACAGCGAACTCAAAATCCTTCAAAATTGTTCAAAATACCACTTCTCAGGCAAAAGGATGACAATTTATCGAAGTTAAGGTAGCACAACGTATACTTCAGGGGCACCCAACGACTGTTTTCTGCAAAATATCTGTTCGGAGAAGTAAAAATTGCCTACACTTTCCTATTATTTGAGGAAGGCTAAAAATTTCTAGGTAGCCGTTCCATTCATGTACAGTTTTCGTAGCTCATCTAATAAATTCCCTACGATTTTCTAATGGTTAGCCAGTTTTGGCATTTCAATCCCCAAGTTAGCCTATTTTTCGTAGAAAAAGGAAAACTAAAATTTTCGGATTCGAAAATGCGATGGAGAGAGAAATCAGAAAAATTCTCACTTTCGTAAAACCTAAAATTGCATCTAAAATTTTCGGGAAAATGATAATACTGAGGCCCTATATAAAGTAATTTCGAAAAGACTCAAGTTGCCCTAGAACGACCGAACAGATACAAGTTTTATAGCGCCGCTTGGAATGCATTTCTAGAGATTTGAAAGTACTCTGGATAAGCGAAAAAGTGTTTTCAATACATTTAGGAGGAAAGCGTCGTTGGGTGCCCCTGATACTTAGCTTTAATACATGCGCATATTTCGCGATATACCACTACAGATGAAGCAAACGATAAATGCAGTATATTTCACTTTGAAATTACATCGGTTACACCATAGTTAGTAGATAGTGTGGGAGCCCTCTGATTTTGCTCGGCAGAAAAACAAAACGGTATAAAAATGTGTGAGAATGAAGTTTCAATTAAATCGGAAAGATTTCTCTCTTTGCCAGGTATAACAACGTAAAGACATTTCAATATTGTTTAAGTAATCGATAAATTCACATACTGGAAGTGCTTAACGACAGTAGCTGGCATAAGATTTATACTTCAACTTTGACGGTCAATGGCTAAAGCACAGGCATCGGTTCACGTTGCAAAGTCCAAGCTGGTGGCCGCCGTCGCCGCCATTGTCAGTTAACGTATGGCTGGACCCCTACCTCAACAATAAATTGTT